TCTGTAAGTCGCTTAACCCTCTGGTAAAATTTTCGGGCATTCTTCCTGTCGGCCAGCATTTCAAGCTCTTCGCCTCTCTCTTCTTATCGCGGCAAATACGTCTCGCTTCCCTCTTCACCTCCCTATAACGGTCCCATATGGCTTGCGTTGCGCCCGATCGCGGCGTGGCCGTGTGGGCGGGATCTTTTTTCTCTGCACCTTTTTGACACTTAGCAGAACAGATTAGCCCAGTGCAAAATACCAGTTTTCAGGATATCTAAATGAATGCAAATACATTTTTTTTTAATTATAAAGTCAGAAATAAGAAATAATGCAAACTTGTTGCACAACGATTTTGCTCGAAAAATCGTATTATCTGACGGAGCTTATTTCCATATCAGGCGGCTATGTTAAGCTGCTGCATCTAAGGGGTGGAAAACTGGCACGAGATCGCGAAGAAGCCATTACATCCTCAGAGAGTGACAGTTTGGAGCGGTGGCGTCATTGGCACATTTTTCTTTGAAAATGCTGCTGTAAACGCCATTTCGGTCGCCGGTGAGCACTACGGCTTCGTTTTGTGCAGATTGAAGACTTGGACTTCGACGATCTTTGGTTTCGGCAGGATGGCGCGCAGCCCATGCCACGTTCGATTTTTAGCGCGCCAAATTCGGTAATCGTGTTTCAGCCGGCTCCGCGATGTCAATTGGCCGCCTCGGCTTAGGCTTTTTTTATGGGGTACCGGGAGAGGCAGATGTTATGCGAAAAATCTATTGACGAACGATTCAGGCACTTAAGGCGAATATCAAGCCGCATTCGTGAAATACGGGCCTAAAAACCGTCACCAAGGTCCTGATAAACTGGGTTTTCTCTCGCGTGAGTGGCATATTTGGAGGTGTCCCTTAACAGTTATCTGCAGCTCTGGCCAGCATATCTTGGGAATTCTTTGCGATTTCCCTTCTGTTCTTGCAGGGTTCGAGGGTGATGCTTAAAACCCCCATGAAAAAAACACGCGTAAGGAGTTAAAGCTTTTCGCTGTATTTTGTGTAAACTCACTACATACCTCACCTGGCCATGGTATGCTGACTACTGAAAAACTTATAGCTAATGCCATCTATCGGGCCGACCGATTTAAAAAAAGGGGGAGGTTATCAATTCGCCGGAAATATTTTGTTGCTATGCATGTACCTTAAAGGGGGTACCATACCATACTAATTTGGTTTAGTTCCGATCATTGAATCATGCAGAATCTAACTAACGGCAGTCCTAAATTTTGAAGCCAGTTGTTTTTTTTTTCCGTAAAAATTGCGTATTTATTTAAATTTTTTATTTTACTTAACACTTTATTTTTTTGATTTGTGAATTCGAAATTCAAACACTTCCTTTCAATAAAAGTGAATTAAAGAGCGTGTTGAAACTTTGCCTAAGATGAAACTAAAGCAGCCGTTTAACATTCCTCACATTTGCTTGGCCACTTACCTAACATACCAAAATAATACATACATATGTATGTACATATGTATATTAGGGTTTGTAGTTTTTGTCAGAATAAAAAATAAAATTTAGAACTGCTTCAAACCCAGTATTTTATTTGAGGAAAAAACATTTTAGGTAGAAATGGTATAGACTTTTGAAAATTAATATTTTTCGATGGGAAAAACCTGTCTCTCTTTAAGAGAAATTTTTTAATTAACCATTTCTTAATATTAACTACTTTTTATAGGTCTCCCGAAAACCCCAAAAAATGCTGTGTGGTACCCCATAAAAAATCGGTAGTATTAAAAAATTTTACAAATAAGAAACTGGGTATTATAATTGGTGTGTTCTGAACAGAAACAGAGTTTTCCGATTGAAAAATATTGATTTCAAGAATTTTATACCATTTTGAAAAAGTGGTTTTTCCCACATTAGATACATGTCAAACTTCATGGGTTTGTGGCTGTTCTAAATAGCATTTAACAAAAAAAAAAAACTCGCAGGGGTAAGAGCTTAATATTTTAACCTTTTTTCGGACCACCCTAATGCGTATACACATGGTGTTTGTTCTACATACTCTGATTTTTGATATTTTTTTACGCTCTTCCTGTCCACACACCATTCAATATCTAGTTTTTTATTTAAATTTTTTTTTCGTTAGTGGCGCTTTTGCATTCGTCTTTGTTTTTGTTCAATTCAGAATTTTTCTGCCTCTTCAATTCCAACATTTTTAAGCTTAGGCAAAAACACATAGTGCTGAACTATTGGTTATTCTTGTTTTTCCTTTTTGCCCCCAATTCCTACGACTACCGCATTTTTTCTTCCTACTCTTATTTGTTTGCTGAAATGTCAATAAACTCTAATTGTACAAAAATATGCTAATAGTATTGTAGTTTTTAGGGGGGAACATTCGTACATACATTCGTATATGGAACGGTCTGCTAAGGAAAAAAGCGCAAAAAAAAAATGATCAACTAGCGCTTTATCGAAAGTAACGTTATTTTCAAAGCCAAATCGAAATGGCAAATACGCATACGTGTACATACGTATGTACGTATATATGTACATATGTAACTACTCGAACGCTTATGTCGGAAGGTTTCATTGGTCGTAGTACACATAGTAGGGCGGCAGCTGCATAAATTAAGAAGTGAATTTAAATAAATAAATTAAAAATAAAAAAAATTAAATAAGTAACTAAATAAAATTGGGTAAGTTTTAAGTTGTGCAAAAAGTTTTACACATACGAACAAATATTTGTCAAATTAGAACGTATGTACGTGTCGCCCGCGGGTAAGTGCTTTTTTTTATGTTGTACTCCTCTATGTTAAAGTAGTTCTGTACAATAGTTAAATTTACTTGTTTTTTTTAAACTTTCAATAGAATTTATTAAATTTTTGTGATAAAAAAAAGAATAGTTGAATGGTGGCACATACACTGGTGGAAGAATTCATCAAAACTTTTTATTTTATCCAGTTAAGTTAATCACATAACAAGTACCATATAAATCCACATTTAAAAACTTGTGCAAAGACTATAAAAATTCCGCCAATTTTGCACCAAAAACCCTAAAAATTTCAAACATTTCATTCAGAATTTTTGAAAAAAATTTAGGTGAGCACTTTTATAGCCAGTTTCATGAGAGCCGTTTGAAAAGTGAAAAATTATTACTTTTTTTTTGTGAATTCCATGTGGAAACTGTCACAAAAAAAAATAAGTTTTTACTTAAAATTGCTTTCGTGAAACCGGCAGTAAGTGGAAGTTTCAAGACTTTGGAAAATTGCTTTGATTTTAAATGAATTCTTTAGCTGTCGAAAATTTTATAAAAAATCTGAATAAAAAGTTTGCAAGTTTTGATGGATTATTTTTTTTAGTTTAATTAATTTTTGTGAACTTTGTAAAGTCTGATGAAGAGATGTGGTGTTTTCAGAAATAGCAGCTATAACTTCTACCGCTTAAATTTTGCTGCTGTTACCGTTTTTTCGAAAAGTCAAAAATCTTGTAACAAAGCTTAATAATACTATTGAATGTAATAAAGATAAACACAGCAGTGTTTTTTTCATGAACGATGAGTATAATGATTCAGATTTCATCCCTACTGAAATACATATATCCTGCAGAGGAGCAATGGATCGTGGTGTGAATTCGGAAAATTTATGCAAACGATTTCAATGCAAAATTATTTTGCTGTTAAAGTGTCAACTACTCTTTCCTCGATTATCACCCTAAGGATTAATAATATTTTCTAATTAAAATCAAAGCCAAAAAAAAAATACCAAACCTCTTTCGTTTTTATTTTTACGTTGACCGGCAAGGATGCCTTAAGGCATTATTTTTTTTCATCTGTTGCTGAAGCTAAATAGCAAATTTCTACCCCAAAAAAAAATTCGCAAAATTTTTCCAATTTTATAATTTTGTCGTATTGATTCAATTATCGCTTAGCGCAGATACTATCACTGAAGAACAAATGGATAAATGTAGAAAAATTTAGTCCTTGCCACATTTTAATTCAAAATTCGGATAGCAGTTGACCGATTTTCACCATATTTCAGATGTACATATCGCACACCGTCTTCTAAAAAGTCACAACTCAAAATTTGGCATTTTTGAGAATATGCGCTAGAAATGTACGCAGAGCTTTTATTTACCTTTCAGCAAAAGCTGAAGCAAATTTTTGTTATAATTTGTTAAAAAAAAACCTAAGGTAAAGTCGCCGTTGCCCATATGATTATCATGTGCTAAGAAATAGTTTTTCGGATTTTCTGACAAACGTATTATTTTGAGTTGTGACTCTTTTACGGTATGCAATATGTCTTCCTGGCTTATTTAGTCCAAATAACAAACCGAATTTCACTGGAATCGAATAACATTTACCATATAAGCCAGTTTTTATAACCAGTATCAGGTCATTCCAGACCTCTCCACTAATTCGTGACATTGATTCAGTTGCTAAATTCATTGGTGCTGGTGCTGCAACAGTCGGTGTCGCCGACTCCGGTTAGTATTGGAAGATTATAAAAATATTTCTTAACATCAAAAGCAAAAGAAAGTTTGTAGTGGAAAAATGCAGTAAATTCTGTCGAATATTTCTANTCAATTATCGCTTAGCGCAGATACTATCACTGAAGAACAAATGGATAAATGTAGAAAAATTTAGTCCTTGCCACATTTTAATTCAAAATTCGGATAGCAGTTGACCGATTTTCACCATATTTCAGATGTACATATCGCACACCGTCTTCTAAAAAGTCACAACTCAAAATTTGGCATTTTTGAGAATATGCGCTAGAAATGTACGCAGAGCTTTTATTTACCTTTCAGCAAAAGCTGAAGCAAATTTTTGTTATAATTTGTTAAAAAAAAACCTAAGGTAAAGTCGCCGTTGCCCATATGATTATCATGTGCTAAGAAATAGTTTTTCGGATTTTCTGACAAACGTATTATTTTGAGTTGTGACTCTTTTACGGTATGCAATATGTCTTCCTGGCTTATTTAGTCCAAATAACAAACCGAATTTCACTGGAATCGAATAACATTTACCATATAAGCCAGTTTTTATAACCAGTATCAGGTCATTCCAGACCTCTCCACTAATTCGTGACATTGATTCAGTTGCTAAATTCATTGGTGCTGGTGCTGCAACAGTCGGTGTCGCCGACTCCGGTTAGTATTGGAAGATTATAAAAATATTTCTTAACATCAAAAGCAAAAGAAAGTTTGTAGTGGAAAAATGCAGTAAATTCTGTCGAATATTTCTATTTTTACCAGTCAGTTGCAATCTAGCATCTGGGGCTCACATACGAGTATTTTCTATCATTGCCTTTCGCATTTCTTTCTGGAAATGCTGCTTGTGTCTTGATAGAATGTAGATTACTCTAATATCGCCTCGGGAAGGTCTGAGAGTTGGTCAAAGTTCAAATCAAACATGCTGTGGTGCGTGTGAACTTAAACCGATTTATTTTCTAGCAGGAAACTTGTATAATTAAAAGGCAAAGGGACAAGAAATTCTGAATGCTAGACAAGCTTTCGGGCTAGTCTAGTATTCATTGAAATCCTTTGTGACCAGCAATTTTAGTGCGATGTGCTTGCTGCATTCTATGTAGAACTCAATTCAGACTAATCTGTGACTGATTGTCAATAAACAAAACTACAGAAATTCTGCTTTTCATCAACTTTCTTTCGCTTTTAGTTGCCCATTTATTTATATTGGGGCGTACATTGTTTTATTTCTTTTGCGAAAACTTCCAATACAAACAGGTGCTGGTATGGGCACAGTGTTCGGTTCCCGCATTATCGGTTATGCCAGAAGTCCATCGTTGAAACAACAAACCACAAGAGCGNTGGGCCAGTTCAGTGATGAACAAGGCGAACACTTTCACCAAGAAATAGCTACAATTCGATTTCTTTTTTCATTCCGATCGTTTATGATCAAAAAAATGCTGGTCAGTACAACGAGAAACTGATGATTTTGAGTTAGAAAAAAACGGGAAAGAAAACATTTTTGAGTAGTATAGTTAAAAATAATATTTTTGCAAAAATTTTGTTTTCATAAAAGCTTTAATAATTCAGTAAACTTTCATCCGATTTTTGAAAATAAACACTAGTTTTTTTTTCGTTATTAAATTTGGTTTTACAATCTATTTGGGACTAGTATGGTTTTCTTATAAAATAGTAACATATGTATATAGTTTCATATATTACAACATATTTCGAAATTAGAACTTTCTGTGCGGCGCAGTGATTTAAAAAATGAAACGGTTTTTTTTTTACACTGATAACCAGTTTCGAAAAATTTTGAGATAGGCAGAGTTTTCGCGCCCATTTGAACTCTATTTTTGCAGGTATTTTCAAATAGGTCCAGCTTACGTAAATCTTAATATATTTTCGAATTATTTTGGCGCAAGTCTTGAAATATAATAAATTTTATAATACCGATGGGAAAATATTACCGATTTTTTTTTTTTCTTTATGGAGAGTAATGCATATAATATGCCCACTAGTGTTGCCGTTTTGATCCATTTACTTCAAAAGTGATACGTGTTTGTGCAAACTTTAGGAAGATACTTTATTTTTTCGCTCATTTTGCGAGATGCTTAAATTTTCCGCACAGAACAAATTTTGATAAATTAGAAAGAAAAAAAATTATATACATATCGCACACCGTATTAAAAAGAGACACAACTCAAAATATCACGTTCGTCAAGAAAATGCGATAAACTATTTCTTAGCACAAGGGCAAGAAAGACTTTATCTTAGGTTTTTTTCAACAAATTATAACAAAAAATTTTAGTGCATAATTTCAAAAATATCAAATTTTGTGTTGTGTCACTTTTGAAGATCGTGTACGATATGTACTTATGCAGTGACAGCTTTTAAAATTTGATCAGAAATATTAAACGTTTTGGGGTCAAATAAGCTTAATGAAAAATACTCTAAACGAACTATGTATAATGAGTTGACTGCATTCATTTTTAATTTACTTTGCTTGCCTCATACATAGGCAAACTGTTGAGAATATACCGGGGCGTATTCATAGTCAAAATAAAACGCCACTGAAGGTAGTTTCATCTTTATGACATAATTTCCAGCGAGTTTAACGTGGAATGTAACACATAATTTGATAATCAACACAAATGATCGACAGTTAATAGTTTTATGTATATACATATGTATATTTGTATTCAAGTTTCTCCCAGTATATCTTAGATATTTTTGTTCACTGTACATACATACATATGTATGTTTATAAATGTGCATTACATGATTTTTTGGTTATTGACAATAATAAAAAGCAAAGATGTCAAACCAAATAGAATTTTTTTTTTTTTTAAGTTTTTTTCTAACTTGATACTTTGATACTTAAAAAAAAATTTGTGATACATTTGATCTATTTATTGCTTTTTTACGACACATTTTTTCATGATGTCGCGGCAACACTGATGCTCACAGCTGTTAACTGTTAAATGTCTAATGAGCATTACGATTTCGTAATCGCAGGTGAATTTTTTCGCAACCGAAACTAAAGACATAAGATGTCGCGATTTATTAAGTAATCAACGGCTTTTTGTATTTATTTAACTGAAAAATAATGAACGTTGACCTACAAATACTTACGAAAGGGGTCTTAACAAATAAATTGCAAAACTATTTAAATTGCCTCGACATAATAAAAAAAAAACTTAATTATATATTTATAGAAATACACTCTGCATACTAATAGAGTATAGACAACGATATTCGCGTTAATGTAGCAGTAGTACATACATACGTACATACACAAGACATCAAGCTATTATCGTAACCAATATATGTACATATGTGTATATATTTGTGTATATGTATGTATGTAATCTTAAGCTAAGTAATGTACAACAAACACAAAATCTAAAGAAATATACAAAAAAGAAAACTACAGTTCATTTTAACGCGATTATTATTTAAATGCCATAAAGCAATTAACATGGGAACAAGCATTCTTTTTATTTTACGATTGCCGTTGAAATACTCGTTTTCATGGCTCGTTTTTTTTTTTGTTTTTTTAGTTATTTATTGTTTTTTTTTTTTCTTAGTTTGAGCTCATGAACTGTTTTCCCCCGCTGCTATTATTTTATTGCTTATACATATACATATTTGTTTTAAGTCCCTTTTGAAGTCATTTTATTTTGCCGTTTCATTTGCATGGCGAAATTTGCAACAATCCAATATTTATGAGTGTGAAAGCGCAAAAAAAAACATACATATGCTAACGAAAAAAGCTTAATAAAAATAAATAGAAAGAATTGAATAGTGTGAATGTGGACTCACTTTGACCAGCAGCAGACAGACGCAGCAACGGCAATCTAACAATGAGAATTCCCACTTAAGTTCTGAACACATTGAAAACAACGAGCTACAGACCACAGCTTCCAATTTGTCATCTTCATTATCTAAACGCTTTGTCGTTGGCGACATGATTTCTTTGAACGCGGCAGCGACATCATGAATTTGTATGAGTTTGACATAAAAGAAGAGGAAGAACCTTATCTCTCGCCAGAAAAATAGAAATAGATCTAATCTGGCCACAACCACAGCCGTCGCGTAGCTCGATCGTCGCCAAAATAATTATCTACATAAGAGCACGTGTTAAAATAATTTGACAGCTGTGGTTTGTAGCTCGTCGTTTTCATTGTGTTCGGGCTATTAAGCTCCGCACCGCTCATACATAACGACATACATATGTATGTACATATTAGCAAGGAGAAACAAGTGGCAGGGGAGGAAAAGAAAACAATAAGAACCTAACTAAGTATGTATGTATGTAGTTGTGAAGTCAGCGACTAGAAGTCCCGCATTGGCTTTAAAATATGTAGTACTACTCCACTTTAATGTGAATAAGAGGTCAGCCAACTCAGACAGGCAGTTAACTATTGTATGTAGTTGGTTGTAAGACGTTGGGGAATGAGTAATATATGAGTGGCATAAACATATATGTACATATACATATGTAAGTCCGTATATGTACATATTGGCGAGTCAGCAAGCCAATGGCGAAGTCGAAGGTGGAGGAAGACACTCGAAATGTTGCCAAGTATCGTTCGCATGTTAATTAGCAGGAAGGAAAGTATGAATTTTAGTGTACGCTATGCCCTTTTCATATCTACAACAATGGAGCAAGCATAAATTGTAAGCTTGAAAAAAAAAAGAAAACAAACATTAAAATTTATGTGACTTGCTAAACGAGAAGCAGGCAACATTTGTTATATACACTAGGCGACAAATGTAAGTGTACATCTTGTTCTAATATAATATTTACCCTTATTTTCTGATGAAAAATTGTTTGCATTAATTATTTATTAAAATATAGTTAATTCTATTATATAAACCATACAAATCAAAAATTCACACTTTATATAAAGTTCACAAAAATTAAAAAAAGTTCCATTAAAATTTTCAACTTTTTATGCAGAATTTCTAGAAAATTTTCGAGTATTCAATTTTAGTCTAGGGAAGTGCAAGTTTCAAACGGCTAAAAAATTCCGTTGATTTGTGAGAATTTTTTTGGTTACGGATTTTTACACTTTTTATCATATGAGCATAAATTTCTTATGAAATCATATACGCTAGACCTTTAGCAAAAAGATTTCAAGAAATCAACGCCAGCTTTTGTAAATTGCACTTGTTGTATAAAAAAAACTGCAAAGAAGTCTCCAAAAAAATCTCAAAAATCAATACGATATTTTAACAGGTTGAAACTGGATGGGCTGCAAAACTCCAAACTCGAAATTTTTTTGAATTCTTCTGAACTTGTTATAAAGTGAAAAAACTTTGGTTTATATAATAGAATGAACTATATTTTCATAAATAATTAATGCAAAAATATGTTGATGAAAATAGTTGCGAATATTATATTAGAACAAGGTGTACACTTTCATATGTCGTCTAGTGTACATACATATATACATATTTGTACAGAACCAGTTAGACGATTGCAGCGAATTCGCTTTTTAGACGAATTTTATTGTAAGATTAGAAGAAATCTCGGTTGAAATGAAGTAGCTCTTTTGGTGTTCTTCTTCTTCTTGTTTGGCGCTATAACTGCAAATAAGGCACGCCAGTCGCCAGACTACACAGATTTTCAGACCGTAGCGGGAAATCCATTTTATGGTAAAAAGTAAAAAAAAAATGTAGTAAACTAATAGCAAATTTTGTAGCGTTGAACCAGAAAATTTCTGAAAAATCGCAAAAAACCCGTAGGATCTTGAAAAGTATTAATACCAATTCCCGAAAATTTCCTAAGGATTTTGGAAAAATCTCTAAAACACGCGAAGTGATTCAAATAAGTATTGTTTTTTTTGTGCAAATGCGTAAAATTTAAAAAGAAGTATAAAGTTAAAATAATGAAGGCCAAATTTTTACATGTGAGTCTTGCCGTGGCAAATCGACCATTTTTTATGTGGACGAATTTTGGTCAGAACTTTTCTTTATCATATAACGAAATTTTACAAACTCTAAATGAAAATTAATTCTATATTAAATAAAAACTGTTCAACGTAATTTCATTTGGGGTTTGCAAAAAAAAAATAATTGCTTCAAAGCTCAAAAATTCATATCCTACATGAACACGTTGAAAAGTTGAGAATCTTTTAAAATCAGTTGGAGGTAGTGTGTATATATATTTTTTAATCACACCGTTGTTTTCAAAACTTTTTACTAATTTTTACATTTAATTTTTTTTTTTTTAATTTCGAAATTCTGTAATTTTCCAATTTTTTTATTTTTTTTTATGTTTTTTCTTTACACCACCATTAAAACGAGACCAGAACTATTTTTGATACTATAATAGTTTTTGAAATATTCAAAAAATAAATTTGTAAAATCCCGGAAGTTGTGAAATTTCTAATTTTGCATAACTTTAAAAAAAGAATTTAAGTTTTTTCCTTTGGCAGGTATGATAAAAGAAAAATTCTGACGAAAATTCATCCATTGACCGATTTGACATGCATTGGCTAAGGTTAAACCTTGTAAAAACTTGACCACAGTGTCAACTTTTGAATTCTGACTGCAAATTTTCCGAATTACGAATCAGTAATTTTTCTACGACAAACTGGTCATTTCTCAAGATTCAAAAGATGGCTCTTTAAAAAAAAAAAAAACTGTTTTCCTGTTTCCTGTGTTGGCGAAAAATTAATCTGAAGAAGTTTCGCTATTTCACGAGAAATAATTTTGTAGAGCATTTTAACCTGTCTTCTCTCTCGCTCTACCGCAAGGGTCGTTTTGACCCCTGTTTTGCAAAGTCTGAATAAAATGGAATTTGGGAGGTCGCTAAGGGGGTTGGAATGTTTTAGAAAATTATCCGCCGCAAAATTTCACCAGTGTATACTCAGACAAAATCATTATACAAAAAGCGTAAAGGTCAACAGAAGATAAAAAACTAATATTTCTCCTTGAAATATGCAACAACTTTTGTATGCTACCTTTTAGTAACATTTCTTTTGTGAACGAACATAGCTGCCACCCTTTTTTGTGTACACCTAACAGGGATGCCAACTCCCCTGGGGCTAATTCCCCGAAATTCCTTAAAAAATTCCCCTATTCTCTATGAAATTCCCCCAAAATGTATTTTGCTACATATTGAAGGCGCTTCATTTTTTATTAAAAAAAAGTATGCAATAAGGACAGTCTTTTCAACATTTCATGTTTATAATATAAAAAGCTAGTACGATGGCTTGGTGGCGAAAACTAAACGAGAAAAGAGAGTGTCAAACGAAAACGTGAAAAAGTGAAAAAAGTCGCTATACAAAGTTGCAATTTCTTTAATATCCACATGGTTGCACGAGGCAATTACGTAATTTTTCGAACCCGCGATACAAAATGAGAGATTGTTACCACAATTTGTAATTTATAAATGCAATTTTATCCACAATAGGAATGTTCAAACCAGAATCGTTTGTATATTGAATTCCTCAAAATTTAAAGTCATTCCCCGATTCCCCCAAGAAATTGAAATTCCTCCAAATTTGGGGAATTCTTCCCGGTTGGCAACACTGACACCTAATAAAAAATATACCCTTGTCTACATTTACTTTTTCATTTAAACTTTCACGCCTAAATCTTCTCTTTTTCTTTTTTTTCCATTTCAGATGTAATGAATCTTTAGGTGCTAATTTAGTAAATAAGAAAATTTTAAGTACAATAAAAAGTTATCAGCCGCAACAACAACAACAACCACAATCACAAAGAAAAAACGACGTACATATTTCAACGGAAAGGAAGAAGAAGAGTACATAAGAACGCACTCGAACTAAAAAGTACTAAATCAATGAAGAAGCAAAAAGTTTTTTAATTAGTAATTAAACAAATTCAAAGCTCTCTGTCTCGCCACGAACGAATGACACAGCGAGCGAAGGTGATTGAAGTAAGCGGAAATAGTAAGACTAAGCAACAAAGAAAGTGCCAGAGCAATGCACACAGAGCAACAAAAGAACACGTAAAAAAAGGAGATTTTGAGCACTGAATACAAAAAGTAGAAATCCGAAAGCCGATAGTAGAAACTAGAAAAAGGAGAAAAAAGAAAACTTAATTAAGCCAGCAAAGCCAAAATAAAAGTAATATGTATAAAGAAGCAAAGCAGAAGCAGTGCACATAAATTTGGAAATAAGAAGTGAATATCACATTTAAAATACAGTAAAACAAAATAGTCTACATACATATATTTTTTTAAGTAAAGAGTTTCTAAAACTCAACAAAGCAAAACGAAAGCAGCAAACAACGTACATAATACATTAAAAAAAAAAAAGAAATAAGTTAAAAGAAAAAATCTAGTTTAAAATTAATGTATAGCTTTTTGGCGGCAAGCTGCAAGTCCACAAATCAGCAAGCCAACAAGCTCAGCAGAAGAAACCGCATAAGCTGGTGCCGCAATTTGGAGCCTAGAAAGAGAAACACACATATACACACAAAACCGCACGTATTTGTTGTTGCCTCTGTCTTCCAGTCGCGCTGCGCTGAAAGGCAGTAAGACGCCGCGCTCAAACGTCCAAACCCACTGACAAACTGCACAAACATGCCCAAATATTTCATAGCTACAGCAGCAACAACAACAGCAACAACGTCAGCAACAGGCAGCGCTTACAATACCAACAATACCAACAGCAATAATGGTACGCCACAAATGGTTGTCAAGTCAGCGGTGCGGCAACTCTCCTACGACATGGTTAGCACCAGCGGCGGCACCAGCAGTACGAAGCGCAATTCAAATTCGGCATTTGTGTCATCATCATCGTCTGGCTCGTCATCACCTGTTTCGATGCTGATGCAGGGCAGTGGAAAGACGCCAGTCATCAGCAGCGCTACAACAGTGCCACTTGCGACGCATCTGTTGGATCATGGCTATGGTGTAACGCTGAAGCAGGCATCGTCAACCTCATCGACGTCAGCGTCGTCCGCAACAACGTCGACGCCAGCGACAGCGGCGGTGACATCTCACTTCACCGGCAGATACACGTCCACGCTGGCGAGCCGGAATAGCGCCGATTCCACACCACACATAACGGAGTACTATAAGGTGAGCAACCTACTTGCACAACTATATGTATAACTTGTGCTAATTAATGCATTTCTTTTCTTTTCACCTCATTCCATGTCGTTCATGCAGCAAGTGAAGCGACGCAACCCCACATCTGTTGCCGAACAAAGTAGTCATCCCAAGAAGCAAGCCAAACATCAGTCAGCGTCCGCCGGTGATTTTGCGCCCAGCAATGTGGTGGTGGTTCAACAACAGCCACCGCGCTCACAGCAATTCCAACATAAATCCACCAAGCAACCGGTGTTGGTGCGCACAAGCAGCAGCAGCAGCAGCGGCAACAACAGCAACAACAACCGCTTAGCTAGCTCACAACATCAAAATGTGATGGCAACAGCGGCGGTGGCGTCGACATTGCATTTCGCCACACCTTCACCGCAACCACAACGCCCGCCATCGTCTGCCTCGTCGACTTCATCGACGTTTGCTTACAAAACGGGCACAACCTCATCCGCCTCTTCATTACCCGCCTCGAAACGCACACCCGAAGGTAATCGTGCCGACACCTCACTCGGCATATTGACGAAAAAATTCGTCGATTTGCTGCAAGGCTCACCGGACGGTGTCGTAGACCTCAACGATGCGTCAGCCAAATTGCTGGTGCAAAAGCGACGCATCTACGATATTACGAATGTGCTGGAGGGTATTGGCATATTGGAGAAGAAGTCGAAGAACAATATTCAATGGAAATGTGGCAACTCGCTGGTGAGCTCAGATCGTACGCGTGACATGCAGCTAGAGAATGAAAGACTCGAACAAAAGGAGAATCAATTGAATATGTTAATCGATCAGATACGTGAGGAGCTCAGTACCGAAATATCGAATAACAATCAATTGGCCTATGTGACGCATACCGATTTGAAAAGTGTCGATCTGTTTAAAGATCAGATAATAATTGTCATAAAGGCGCCACCGGAAGCCAAACTTGTGGTGAGTATTAAATGTAAGATAGCGAAGGCGATAGGCACATGTATGTATATACGGACACTGCGGCTATGAGCTGAATATCTTTCGTTAAGGTATTCCACCTGTGGCAGGTTGTTACAACAACAACAACAACAACAACGCTTGACTCTTTAATTGCCGGTTTCAAAAAATATATATATATTTTTTAACTTGGACTTGTTGGATGTCCGCAGAATTGCCAGTTTAAAAGAAGATTATTATTGCATCTGCAGCATTTGAATGGCAGATGGTTCCAGCAAGAAGCTTTTCGGTATTTGGTAAATTTTGCTGATGTGGTAGACTTGTATGACTTGCTTGGTCTGAATTTAGAGTTAAGCACTGCAGCGCATAACATGAGTACTGCCAAATATCGAACCTGTTTAATGAGCTTTATGCGATTATCCGACGCAGCGCATGACAGGGCATGGCAGCGAAGTCGGGAGAATTTGTATTTTTCGCTATGTGACATTTTCAATGAGAGATGCCACTCTCATTGCTCTCGTTAATCTGTTCCAGTACCCATCAGATTTACAAGAATTATTGAGAAGTCGTTCTTGTACATACCCTAACAATAGTGTCGACTTCATTTAGGCTATGCATACGCATTCTTCAGTTATGTATTCGTAACTAAATCGTGGAGTACTGGAACAGATTAACAGATTAAACTGAACAGCTGATTCTGGGAGATTATGCGCTCTATGCCGAGTATAATTACACTACTGCTTCACATGTGCTACTTGGAGTTATGTTGCTCGGGTAAGCTCCGATGAACCATTTAGGCTGTTTGAGTGTTTGGAAGCACCGCTGCAATGCGCAAGTTGTAGGTTGCCATGGAGGCAGTGTGGCTTGAGCTACATAGAGCCACAAAAGATGTGGTCCACTTCTTCTTCCATTCCGCAGCAAAAATAGATTCTGGTCCGGGGTTTGGATTGACGCCAGCCCGGAGGAAAAGGATGGGGAACAACCCTACTGCAAGTTGTTGCCGCAGGACGAACGACGGTTAAAAATGTTCACCGGTCTAAACATGGTTAGATCGCCGAAACAGCAGCCCTTGGGCGGGGAAAACCCGAGGCGTTCCGGTACGCGGAACCTGCTGTCGTCGAATGTTGAACCGGGTACTAAGGCCGATGATGCCAATGCGATCTTCACATACCAGCACCATCGTACTTTTGCTGTATAATGTAGTGGATACGATTTCATTGATAAGAACTAATCAATTGTATGGGCTACAAATATTTAAATAAATTTGTTAGCTTTTGCGAGTAAGATGTGACTCTTTTTAAACAAACGATTATTATTATATACTAGCAGAGCACCCGACTTCGTTTGGGGTAATTAAAACAAAATATAAAACAGTAATACAAATATTCAGATCAGCATAAATTAGAGAAGAGAAACTATTTTCTTTTTTTTCTAACTTATAATATATATTGATCACCACTTTCTGTACTAAAAATCTTTTTCCATTATTAGTATTAGCTGGATTAAGGTAACAATAGAATTTTTAAATTAAAATTAGCCCACTATGGTACATTCCGTTTAGCTTCCTATTCGCTTAGCTGTTTTAGGGCGGGGTACTCAATGTCTGGTTAATACTAATCTGCGGTTAAACATCGTTGTCGACCTCTTCGACTCCATGCATACAACAGGGAGTCGGTAACGTCGATAGCTGTGCTTAACCGGAGATTAGTGTCAACCAAACATTGAGTAACCGGCCCTTAGTATAGCTGCATTTTTCCTGTAGAATGCTTATTTCAGAAAAAGTTTAAAATGATTTAATCTTTCCATTTCAAGATGGTCTAAAGACTGTAAGGTTAAAAAAAAAACACGGTTTTAAATATCCGAGTGGTCTGATAGTTGAATACATATTTATCCCCCTTTTACAAACATTTTTATATATACTTTATTCTAAACACCTCCCTTACATATGTCTGCATACCAAATTTCAGGTTCATGTGACTTATGGTTCGCAATTTAAAAATTCCACGCCTAGTGGATGTGACACCCCTCTTTTGTAAACCCATTAATATATATCTTACTATAAATACCTACCAAAGATATGTCTGCTTACCAAATTTCAATTTCATGTGACTTATGATTTTAAAGTTATAGCTGATAAAAAACTTCCACGCCTATGGGATGTGCGACGCCTCCTTTTAAAAACTCACTTATATATATCTTTTTATAAGCGCCTACCTTATCTATACCTGCATACCAAATTTCAAGCTCGTGGGGCTTATGGTTCCGAAGTTATATGTTATGAAAAATTCCACGCCTATGGGATGCGCCACGCCCCCTTTTACAAACTCATTAATTAACAGCCTACTATAAGCACCTACCATAGCTAAGCCTGCATACCAAATTAAAGTACATGTGACTTATGCTTTCGAATTTATAGCTGATAAAAAGTCCACTACTCCGGGATGTGGCGGGCCACGCCTCCTTTTACAAACTCCTACATATATACCTTTTTTATAAGCACCTACCGTAGATATGCCTGTAGACCAAATTTCAAGTTCATGTCACTTATGGTTTCGAAGTTATAGCTGATAAATATTCCACGCCTATGGGATGTGCCACGCCCCCTTTTTTAAACTCATTCCGATACACCTTATTATAAGCGCCTACCATAGATATGTCTGCATCCCAAATTCAAAGTTCATGTGACTTATGATTTCCAAGTTATAGCTGATGAAAAATTCCACGCCTAGGGGATGTGTCACGCCCCCTTTTTTAAACTCATTCAGATACACCTTACTATTAGCACCTACCGTAGCTGTGCCTGCATACCCAATTCTGATAAAAAATTTCACGCCTATGGGATTTGCCACGCCCCCTTGTCGAATTCTGATTTTTTTCTACCTATTATAGGACCAGATGTCATGGCAATACTCTGTCCAAATTTAGTTCGATTCTGTACTACGTCCGTTTAGGCTGCAACCTGGCACATACATACATACATACACACTTCCACAAATATATTTATCCTACTCTTAGCGTAAAATAATTTTTGGGGATATCTGGGCCACAAGGCCACCTATCGTGTAAGTTTTTAGTCCAAATATTTCTTCTCAATTGGCTAAATTGTTTTCTAAGTATGAGCCAAATCTGCAAATAAATACAGTTTTTAGGAATATTTCGACCCCGGCGCCATCTAGCGTTTACATTTTTTGTCAGAATATTTCCCTTCAAGAGGCTGAAATATGAACCAAATCGGTCCAGACGTTTAGTAGTTTCGTGACATTCAATATACGGAAAACTTTATGAAATTGTGAAATCGTAAGGTCTCAGCATTCTTCATTTTTCGGCAACAACAACAAAAAAGTACTTTTTACAGAATTAATATCGGTTCAGCCGTTTGGTAAGGCATCGCCGTCATACGGAAAACATTTTATTTGTATATATATATATATAGATAGTATAAACAAAATTTCACACTTACTTTTATATATGTATATCAAATACCTATGTATCAGCAACAACTCTCATTATATAAAAAATAATATAATAAACAAATTTCTGCAATTAGATCTAAGCAAATGTGGTTGAATATGGCTATAAGTTTGTGTAATTGATTCAGAGGTGGTTTATTTATATGAATTAAAATTTGTCATAATTTAATTTAATTTCGCCAAAAACAAACCTTGGAAGGTACATATTTATTTAATAAATAATATTTTTTTTTTGGTCAGACTTGTTTTTTTTTTTTTATCCAAAACCGAAACCGAAACCAATTTTGAAGAACGAAACCAAAACCGAAACCGGAACGTGATTTTGAATCAGTTTCGTGCCTTGGTATCTAGTACGGTTTTTAAGCTCAGTTGATGAAGAGGCAAATTTTAAACAAAATGGCTACACTTATCTTACCTTAAAATGTCAAATTTTGGACTTGTACGGTTATCGAACTCACCGGTAGTCGGTTAATAAATAGAACAATTCATTAACACTGTGCAACGCATTTTTCTAACGGAAAAACAACCAACACAGGTCGATTGTACTGTTCTAGAATAGCAAAAGCCTAAAAGGGGTTTGCAAAGTTAGCTCGCTTTGAAAAGATATTGATGTTCAAAAATTTGTTTCTTGCATTTAAAATAAAATAAATTTTCATTACAAAATTTATTGATATTCATTGTCTTCCTCTTCCGTGTCTTCATCTCGTTCTTTGTACGTCTTCATACTCCATCAACAAATTTCCGCTACTATTGTTTAGTAAAAGTTTACCTCATCTCGTCTGATTCAGTTGGTACCTGTAGGCTGAAGTTTTACAAGTACATAAGTCAGTGTGATATTTAAAGTTTCTATATGGAAGACGAACCCGAGTCCCCAGTCGATGATGATGGAGTAGCTGTCCCACCGCCTGACTATGACGAGGTACGAATAGCGATTACGCGGCTGAAAAACAANGAAAGTGGACGCGGTGTCTTCACTTTTACAAAATGTGGAGATAAACTCACGAGAAATGTGATTGAATTTGGATAAATTTGATGTTGCAGTTTTTGACATACAAACATTTGATTTAAATTAGGCGTGGTCGTCACGCTCACATTGCAAGCCTTATGTAGAAACTGCTGTCAAGCCCTAAAGTCAACCTACTTAATAAATTTGAATAACTTCGCTTTATTAATTGCCGGCATATGAGACTTTTAGGGTTTTCCAAAAGTGTCGTTATATGAGAAGTAGGCGTGGTTATTGACCAATTTCGCCCATTTTCAATACTAACAGCACTTGTCGTAGTAACAACCTGTGTACCGAGTTGTATGTGTACAGACAGACGGACGGACGAAAGAACAGGCAGGTGGTCATACGGACAGTCAAACATGACTAAATCAATTCTTCTCGCTTTTCTGAACACATCTATATATGTATATATATATCCATATCTATCTCAATGCCTTTATGCCATTACAATATTCTGAGAGGAGTTCCCATGAAAAAAATTGGTGCAGAAAAATACACTGAATTTGACGCGCTATAACTTTTGAAAGCGATCTGACATTTCAAAACGCTTTTAGAGTTTTTTTTTCCTAGTCAAGTACTATCGATGTGTGTTGGTCGCTTCCGCGTTAGATTCCATGAAACAAAAATTGTTGCACAGTGTAATACACGAACAATTGTTAATTTTTAGGTTCGATTAATCGGTTATTTATACTCTATTCGTATATACGGAACTCCAGCCTTAGCCAGTATAGATATTCTTATGTATGTATGTACATAAGTTGCTAATACGCCCCGTATGCCCTAGATAATACTTAGACTGCTTTTACACAGCTCAAGTATTGAATTCAATTCTGCTCGCATGTCGAAGAGAGGGGGTGAGAAGAAAAGGGACGAATGTACCGTCAAATCGTTTCAACTTTCTTGCTTTGCTTTTGACATTTTCGTTGTTTCCCAGTTAAAGAATTCAACAGAATTGTAGCGTGTAGAAGCAAATAGAAAACACAAAAGAGAATGAGCAAAAATTGCTTTCAAGTACTTGATTCATGTAAATCGGGTGTTATAAGTTTGACACTGCCTTCGCATATTTATCCATTTTAGTTGCATATTTTCGCAACTATTTCGAATTTACATGTAGCTATCAGTAATTATAACTAGTTTACTATAGCTGGGTGTAAAGCTGTATGGTCAGAGAGGCTAAAAATGTTACTCATACGCCCAGTGTGACCCCGAGCATAGTATGCATTCAACTTTTCACTATTAAAAAAAAAAAAACTTTACAACGCATATAGTGACAAGGAAATTATTCAAATATGATAAAGGCTGTTTTGATTAAAAACGTATTATTTTTTACGAAAAAAAAGTAGAACACATGATTCGCAAAATATTATTAATAAAGTGTCAGACTTCCTCACATGTTTTGCATCTTCATTTCAAGTTGCTATATTTTCGTGTCCTTTTCGCTTGCAATAAGAAATTTTACCCAGACAGATTTAAATGTATTAAGGCATAGCAAAAGTTGTCGCTAACAAAATTGAATTGTGTATTTTATTTGTTTGTTTTTGCTTACTCATTTGATTAAATAAAAAAAGTCAAAGCAACACATTTGCCGCACAACATTACTGGCTGCATTCTTTTGTCTGAAACGCTTATGCTATTTATATTTAGTATGTTTTTTTTTTAATATTAAACGAACACTGAAGAATTAATTAAATTAAATTAATTTCAAATTCGTTGGAAGCGGACAATTTTGTGTGCTTAAGTGCTATAAGTGTAGAACTACTCGTAATTTTGTTGAAAACTAAAATTACTTACAATTTTATACGCGTATAAACAGATTTATGTACATATAAATATTTGTAATAAATTGAAATTTGCTTCGTGATTAAAACGCATTAACACCCACAAGAGTGCATAGATGTACATACATACATATGTATGTATACACATACATTAACAATAACGCAGCAATCTCAATAAATCGCAAAATTGTCATTCGAGTCAACCGTCCAGCGCGTAGAGCAGCTAGCTAGCTGGCTGCGTGTATTGCTTGTTGTTGTTGCCGCGTGGCCAAAAACTCGTGCAGACACAATTTGATGCAGCTTTATTGGCGGCCAAAAGCAGCAATAGCGCCACAAATAAAATGAAATACAAATCACAACAAAACACGAACGATGCGCGAGTTTAGTTGCCTTAGCGCAAATACGACATATCATTTCTAAAAATAAAAGCACGCTTATACGAAAATGTGTACATATGTACATTTAATTATTTATTTAGATAGCTGTACATATGTACATAAATATGTGCATATGTGTGAAAAAATGACTTATCTCGTGTTAGAATTTTTTTAATAAAAAATACTCATTTATATTGCCTTAATAAAAAGTTTCGTCTCTTAAGTGAAAAGAAAGTCCAGTAAAGATTCATCAATAAACAAAAAATTTAAAAACCATCACTCAATTCAACGCCCACAAGCAACTTGCTGCACTGATCACAAAAACTTCTAAACTTGTTTAGTCGTTTCTAAAAAGAAAGTCCATAACTATATTTAATTTGTTGTTGTTGAATAACGCAAACATATATTTGTCATTTTGGCAGCACATCGTTGGTCAAATGGTCATAAGGAAGATTTTTCATTTACTATATCCAAGGCAATGTGGCAGACGTTGACTGCCTGTCGTCGCATGTGTGTGCGACAGTGGCCTATGTGTTTGTACGCCAGCGAAAAATGGGGGTTTGGCAGCTCAAATTTGCGCTACCAATTTATTCTTGTTCTATCCTTTTTTTGTCTCTGATTACACTGTAGGAACGCTAAAATACCCGCCGAGACACGTTAACTTAATTTTGGCTCGTAGATTACAGATCTGTATAACGTTTTTTTCTAGGTCAAGATATTTTCGTTTTAAGTTTAAGTTAAGTTAAATTGTAAATGAAAAAAATCCAAACTTGAATAGGGAAAATTACAAAAAAAAATATCATATGTACTCCTACATGGCGTATGAGTAACTTTCTTGCCTGCTCATATTTCAAACTGAAAAAATTTACGCATTTTCACTTGACCATTTACAACTATTTTATTTCTGCATCGATTTTATTCGTTAGAAGTTTGGTTTTGTGTAAAAGCACCGGCAAAAAGCCAGTCTGTTATTTTTTACAAACTTGTATTATGTTTCACCTGTGTGTAATCAAATTTTTGAATACATTTTTAACCAACTTCCCGAGGCACTAAGTGGTTTAAGTATCGAGATATTTGAAAACCGTCTTTACGGTCCCACAATGGTTCATATTGAGAATGTATATTACTTGCATGAAAAGGAATAACTCTACAAAAATATGCCATAATAGGAGGCGCAGGAGTCGAGATATTTGCAAAATCCCTATATATGGTCCGATTTTTTTTTTTCATATTTAGAAAGTGGAATATGTGCTTAAAAGGAAAGAAAAAATTGCACAAAAAATTGTCTTAATTTTTTTTTTCATTAGATACTTGTTTAATTTTGTCCATAATAAAGTTTTATCTTTGTTTTCATAAAAATAAAAATACACATCTTGGGAAAATTACCTTTTCTAGAAAAACGGAATACAGATTTGTAATCTACGCCTCAAAAATTTAGGTGTTTCAGCGTTTTTTGTGTAATTTCAAACCTTGAGATTTACCCTACAGTATTTTTTGTTTTTTAAGTCTTCTTACTATGTATTAGTATTGTCCGCGTGCATTTCTGCCATAAAAAAGCTTATCGAAAACATTTGCCGTTGGAGGCGGGGGAAACTTGTAAGTTCCTGCACAAATTGGAGGGAAGATTGGGCAAACAGTTAGTAAAATGTACGCGCGCCGAATATTTATTTATTGGCGCTTTTTGTTATTTGTGTTTTTTTTTTTTTNTCACTACATTTTGTCCTCTCCTTTCCTTCCTTTTGCTTTGTTGTTGTTGTAACAGCATACGAATTCCCCAAGGTGATTTGGGTAATGCTGCTGGACTGACAGCGCTAGGTCAGACATAAATCTGATTTGTTCCGGTTACGTATAGGTACCCGTCAGTCGAGAAAACGTTTCTTTTGTTCTCTTTCCCTTGCCCTCATACCAAAATTATGCAACTACGCCACTGTCAACCAACTCTGTGGGCGTTTATCGTACGTCGATTGTTCTGTCAGTCGTTTACTGTATGTAGATACATACATAAATAAGTATGTATACGAATCCTAAAAATGCGTATAGATACTTGTGAGTTTGTAGGTATGTGCCAAACCAGACAGTCTAAATAACAAGAAGCAGCAGCAATTGTCGGCATTCAGACAGTCGTTAGCGGCGCGTAAAAATTCGCGCGTATACTTAGACCTGAAATAGTCGCCGGCTATTTTCGTACTCATCATTTTGGTGCGAACTTTGGTGTGTGAAGTCAATCACTGGAAGTTAGTTGCCGCCGAAAATAAGTAGAAATTAATTAAAAAAAGAAATATTTTATTATTTGTGATTTAATTTTACAGTTACTTCTACAGTTCATATTTTATTTTGTGATTACATATTTTGATTGTATTACTAATTTATACGCCTTTTTTCTCTTCGCTTTCCCTGCAGCTACCTGACACACTTTGTCCACGCGAGATCTACGTTAAAGCCGAGAATAATGGCGAAATTAACGTATTTCTCTGTCACGACAATTCACCCGAAAATTCGCCAACATTCTCATCGCCCGCCGCCCCGCCATATCGCCAGCAGCCGCATCAATTCAACGATCCACTGTTCAACGATATCAGTCGGTTGACACCTAGTCTCGATGACGATAAACGTATGCGTCTAGGTAATTGCCCAGCGCGTAATCATTACATGTGTAGTACATTATACTTATTATTGTTGTTTTATTTATATTCATCACGTCAGGTTTACCCCCACTCTCAGCGTCAAAGACGTCCTCAAGCACGTCAACGGGCAATACATATCCCGGCAGTGCAGCAACCGTCGTCGCACGTTCAGCACAACGAAATCTCAGTAAATCAATTGAAGATGCCGCACGTCAAATTGCTGCTGGTTCGGCTGATGGTGGTACTGGTGGTGGTAGTATCGGCGGTGATACAACGGATTATAATTCTGATATCGCTGGCAATTACCATACTCAACAACAGCATCAGCAATCGAGCGACTACAATATACAGCCCACCTTAACGCGGCCAGTGCTGACGCAAGCGGAAGCCGAACGCATTTACGAGCAAGATTTCGATTGTGAACTGTTCGGCAGACGTAAGCTGGGTGGTGCGTATGGCGGTGGTAGCGGTAGCGGTAGTCAGCGGCAGCAGCAGCAGCAGCAGCAACAGAATAGTGATTAAACAAACCATACGCTTAATAGTTGTAGTAACAATAGGAAGTCAGGTCTTAAAAACGAGGAGGTATCCATGGTGAATAGTGCAATGGAAGGGCAGGAAGCAGCTGAGGACACAACATCAGCGACGGCAGCGGGAGCGGCGGCAAACACGTCCACGATAACATCGTCGTCGTTGTCCTCGTCCTCAGCTGTAGACGCTGCAGCGAATAATAGTCGGCAAAGTGAAAATAGCGCTGATGCTGCTGGTACTTCATTGTCAGCATCGACGTCAGCGGCGGCGTCGGCGTCATCGTCAATGCCAATAACGCACACACCCTCAATGTTTGGCGGTGCCGGCATCGTTGGCAGTCGACATTGCAGCAGCGATAGTGGCGGCATCGGTCGTATGGACTCGCACTTGGCGCACATGGGCGATTCGAATGGCAGCACAGGCGTCCGGAACGCGCTCATTTCGAATTCGCTGAATCTACTGAGTCCGGGCCCATTGCCGAACTGTAAGCAAATGTTTAACGTTTTAGTAATTTTATTTGGCAACGTAGTAGTAGTAGTAGTAGTAGTAGCAGTTTGGGTTTATTTTCTTGGTAGAAAGTGCTTATTCTTACATGGTTTAAACTCAAATGCAGTTCGCAGCTTTTTATGCTTAACAGAAAGTGTGGTCTCGTTCGCTATGTTCAGCTATTCTAACTTTTTCTTTGTTTTGGAATACGAAACCAACTGCATTTGAGCGTTAATCCTGGTAACCTTTCCTTTTTATAAAAAAAAAATGCATGCATTTCATACATTTTCGTATTCTCTCATAAGTTTTGTTGCTATTTATCACGCATCTACAATAAACCAAGAAGAAAACGTTAAAAACCTAATAACTTTGTANTGCATGCATTTCATACATTTTCGTATTCTCTCATAAGTTTTGTTGCTATTTATCATGCATCTACAATAAACCAAGAAGAAAACGTTAAAAACCTAATAACTTTGTAAGAGAAACCAGACAAAACTATTTTGGAGTTAACGCAATTGTTGGCAGCTGCAGTGTTTTTTTTTTCTTTAGGTACGCTTACATTGCTATATACAGCGTGGCGACAAATATCAGATTTTGTTTTAATAAAAGGGTTCTTTATAGATTTCGCGAAGAAAGTATTTTATTGTTAATTTTATTTTACTTTAAATTTATTAATTTGTTTTTAAATTTTAACATTTATTTGGGTTTACCAGCGGTAAATGCTTTGAGCGAAAATCGCAAGCGGCACGCAAGTTTCATCGGTTAAATTATTCCATATCTTCTGTATCCATAAGCTAATTTCTTCCATTCTGAGTATTTTGTACTCCCAATTTTGTCTAACATAAGGCCTCATACTCAGCAATCGAATATACTCAAATAAAGAATAAAATTTTAAAACCATTTACAAAAACTCAACTAAAATATGTACAAAATTAGCAATGATATACTTTCTTCGCAAAATCTGTAAAGGACCCTCTTATTTGAAAAAATAACTGTATAACAATTAGTCATCGCCACGCTGTACATTTTCACATCGCTTCTCATTCGGTTCCATCACACGCATCAACAACGCATTCAATCAATGCCATTCATTATCAACGGGAAAAACTCTTGACGGGAGCTCTGGCTGTGATTTGCGTTTTACAACAGAAATTCATTTCGCATCACAGTCTGAGTTCTTGCTGAGCGCTTTTTCAAAATTCAACAACGAGCCTGAAATTTGAGTACAATCGATTGAAATGCAAAAATGAAAAATAATTAATGAATTGAAAATAATTGCGAATGAAGTAAACAAAAAAACCAAAACAGAAAATGAAGACCATTAAAAGGATAATTTTAAACGCACAAAAATTTTAATTGAACAAAAAAAATATATTAAAAAAGTAACAAAAAGAAATTTCGTGCTGCGCTGATTATTATATAATTACACTTCAAGCAACACATTGTCTCATAATAACATAAAAACTAACATATGTATTCATAAAATTTTTTTAAAAATTGCACATCAAACATTAACACTCATATATGCACATATTCAATGCACATGCATACATACATACTAGGAACATAAAATACTTGCAAATAATGTACATAAATTTGTTGATATTTGTTTAATAAAAAAAAATATGTTTCACAAAAAGTGTCGGATTTCTTATATTACATACATATACATATCCATACACACATATGTATGTATATGAATGAATATCGCTAATTTACTTAAAGACTGTCATAACTCAAAAAACGAAAATTTTAAACAGATTACTCTGTTATCTGTAAGTAATTTTCTGGGAGTAAATTGAAAACTTGAAACGCGGCTCCTGAACAGTACCGTTTTTTGAGCCACGGCAGGCTTAGTAAATCGAGATATTCAGAAATGACATGTAACTCCATTTTTTTTTCAGTTTCGTTCATTATACCAAATTATTTCCGGCCCTTTTTAAAAAGTGTAATAAAGTTATAATTTTTCTATTATTTTTGTTCAATGTTCTTGTTTTGTTTTTCATGTTTGGGTATACATAATGTGTATGCACTATATTATTTGTTTTCAAATCATTTAAACCGAGAACTCAGTCCAAATTTGAATTTTCTTGTAAAAATAACACTTTTAAAAATTTTTTAATTTCCAATTTACTTAAATAGGTTATCATGGCTATTCTTGTATCCGACGGATGCCATTCGCGCGCATCTAATTCTTCACCATCGCTTATTATCGACAATGCGAATCGTAGTTTTTACGACTGGCATCCGCCGAATACTGGAATATAGCCATGAATATTACTTTTGGTGTAGGTAGCGTTAGAACAGATGACTTCTTTTTTTTTTATGTGTATACATCTTAGCTCTCGGTAAGGCTAAAATTTGCGTTAACCCAGCAAAAGATTTGTAACTATAACAAAGAAACATTTCGGGTCTAAATCGGGATCATTTCTGGACCTCTTCAAGACCTAGTTCACGACCATTTTGAGACTAGTTCAGAAACATTTCGGGACTAGCTCAGGATTAGTTAAGTGCCATTTCTGGCCTAGTTCGGGATCATTTTGGGATTTATAAGTTCGATAACACTTCGGGACAAGGTCACGACTTTTTCGACCGTTTCGCGGCCTGTTCGTGACCATTTTGGGGCTATTTAGGACCCTTTGGGACTGGTTCACAACTTTTTCGGGACTCGCTCTGAACTATTCGAGACTAGTTCAAATGTTTAAAAGGTATTTTAATGCAGCCTCTTTTTTTCATAAAAATAAGGAATTGAAAACCAGCTTCTGGGGGAGAGAACACCACCTTGTGGAACCCCGACTGTAATTAACCCGAAAATTTTAGGGGTCACCTTCGATAGCCTGCTCTCCTACTCCAGGCACACTACCGCAGTTGCCAATAAAGTACAGAGCTGCAACAAGGTCCTCAAGTCGCTCGCCGGCAGCANGATCAAATAATGGTTAAATAAACAATTCCGTATTATTACTGAAAGTCTCCTGAGGAGAACCAGAATTTTCCGATCGAAAAATATTGACTTTAAAGAATTCTATATTATCTATATCTATTTCTACGAAAAAATGTATTTTTCCCATATAAAAATACATTAGGAACTTTGAGCGCTTTGAGCGACCTCTTAATATTTTTTGATTTCAAAATAAAAAAATATGGGTATACTTTTTTTCGATATAGAACAGTCCTAGGGGGTGAGAGCATTACAATTCCGACTTCTTTTTTTTTAACCACCCTAATGTACATATCCCCGACAATAACAATAATAATTAGGCTAGAAGAAAACATAACCAACATTTAACTTCTGATTAAAGATTCTGACTTAGCGAACCAAAATCTGTATGATTTGGCTAGGCTCCTGCGCTGGACAAAAAAAAGTAGAGTTTTGTAATTTTTTTAACCCAAGAAAGTTTAAGTTTACGTAATCTAAAACTTAATTTATTTTACTTTATCTAAAAATATAATTCCAAACAATTTAAATTTTTTTTCTTTTAATATTAATTTTAAAATTTTAAATTATTTAAAAAGTAAAAAATTAACTAAACTAAATTTTATACCACATAGCACGTGGTTAAATATGTTTATCTGTGGAATTTTATTAAAGCACATTATCTCATATCCCTTTTAAAAAAATAAAATTTTTCAAGGACAATTTATTTGTATACCTTTCATGAGCATGAAATGGTATTATAACTTTGGTCCGATGTTTGTAAGTACCAGAACAAAAAGAGATAGACCCATTAAAATGTATACTTATATGATCAGAACGTCGAGCTGAGTTGATTTATCCATGTCCGTCTGTCCGTCTGTNTTATTTTAATGCAAAAAGTTTGCGCCATTAAAAAAACAAAACGAAATAAATAAAACATTTGGAAACAAACTTAATGACTACTTTTATTAACATAGGTACATACTATTTGGCATCCAAATTTGTCTAAAAAATATTTATCATTTATTGCCCTGTGAAAACCCGGCATAATGAACATATTCAATTGAAAATGGAGGAAGAGTGTCACAGCGATTCAAAAAAGTCAAACGCATTTTTTTCTTTAAAGTGTTGAACCCCTAATGCTGTTTAATTTGTTTTGTCTTTAAAAATTATTTTAATACCAGATCTCCACTGGGCAGAAAATTACGAAACATTTTAATGACAAAGTTGATAACTAAAAAGTATCGGTTGTCAGCACGTTAATAACTTTCGACAAACTAGTTTTTTACCTTTGGAACTTAAAGCCTGATAGTTCAGTTTTCATTTTATAATTTTATAATGTAGAAAATTTCGAAAAATTTAAAGAATTAATTTTTTGACCATTTAACTTCCAAAAATCTCAAAAACTAGGGCCAATAAAAAAAAAATCATACAGTGGTCACCACTGCGTGTGTCATATGCAATTATTGAAATTTTGTTGTGATGTGTAATAAGGGCCCCTATTGTGAGTTGCATTCGATCTTCGACTGTGTTCGAAAGTGCCGACCGAACGGAACGGGAAATCGAATAATAGTCGTTTATCTATGTCTAGTCGATACTCGCAATAGGGGTGTTAGTGTCTAGCCACCAAAAAGTAAAAAAACAAACGCAAAATTATTCATTTTTCGCAATTTTCTCACATTTTGCTACAGCATCGAAGGCAAAATTTCATTCGACAGAAAATTCGATACGCAACGAAAATTTCGGCACGGTTACATAGCTCATAATACGAATTTCTCATTCGATCTTCGATAACCATCGAAGATCGAAAATCGAATGCAACTCATAATAAGAGCCAAGTCATTAATTCAGTTTTCAATCTTTTTTTTTTTTATTTACACACATTTTTTATAATTTCAATGCCGAGTGGAAATTCCAAATAGAATTTGAAGATTTATTCAGCCCTATTCTGCATTTCGATTACGTTCCCGCATTCCGATCCGCTACAATCCTAATTTGGTATTCTCAGTTACGCTCGAATCGAAAGAAGAAGAGGAAGAGCGAAAACATCTTCGAAATCAGCTGGTTGCCTAGGAACATGT